TCACTACAAGCCACTACAGACGCAGCAAATGCATTTGTGCAGGAAGCCACGCCTGCGTTGTGTATGGCTGCCCATCAAGGTCTGACAGAAGCGGTGGCTGTCCTGCTTCAGCATGGCGCTGACGTGGCCGGTGAGGGCCAGGCCGGCGCTCCCTTGCACTATGCTGCTGTTGGTGGCTGCGTCCCAGTCGCTCGCTACTTGCTCAAGGCAGGCGCTGATCCGATGGCACTGGCCCGGTCCGGTGGCTACACTCCGCTGTATTTGGCGGCACTTCATGCGAGGCTGGACATGCTGCGGATGCTGCTCGGGTTGGTGCCGGCGGCCCACGTCGGCGCCACCATGACCAACGGCGCAACGGCGTTGCATGGTGCGGCCATGTCGGGCTCGCTCGACGTTGTCGCTGCCCTGCTCGACGCCGGTGCCGATCCCAACGCGCGCTCGGACCGCGGTCATACCCCGCGCGACTATGCGGAGCTCTCGTTCCCGGGCAACAAGGCGCTGAGCGAGGCGCTGGGATCGGGCCGTGGACGCACAGCACGCGGCGGGGAGGCACCGGGCGCGCGAGAGGTAGCTGGGCGCGACGCCGCCCAGGGTGGGCGCTTTGTTGACGCTGCCCGCATCGCATCCGGCGAGGCCGCGGCTCTTGGCGAGCTCAAGTACAAGTACCGGCCCGGCGGCACCGACCAGGCCCGCGACGAGGCCAGCGCCCGGCGGCGAAAGGCCAAGTCGGCCAAACTTGCCCGGAAGCATCCGCGTGAGTTCTTTGCGCAGTCTGCCCGCGCCCGCCGCGACTCGGTCCAGATCGAGACGACGCTGCCCGGCGCCAACTACCAGTCCCCGTACAAGGCGTCACAGCTGACGCGTGCCTCGCATGCCCGGGCGACCTCGGCCGACGCCAAGGTCTCGGCCATCAAGTTTCCGACCACCCGCGAGTTCCTCGAGGGCACGTCGGCACGCGACGCGACGCAGCAGCAGCTACTCGCGCTGCGTGAGCTCAAAAAGGCAGCGCTCGCCGAGCTAGACGCCGTCGAGACCGACGCTGAGGCCATTGTCCGTCGGCAGCAGGCCATCCAAGCCAACCTCGATGCGCTCCGTGACCAAGACCGCGCCCTCGAGGCCGAGGCCTTTGCCGCCGCACAAAAAGCTCGTCGCGACCGCGAGGACGCCGAGGCCTGGCGCGACGCCGAGGAGAACGCCCGCGCCGCGCACGGCCTCGAGCTCCACAAGCGCAAGACCCAGCTGCTTGCCAACTGGGACAACCAGAAGGCCGCCATTGTCCGCGAGCTCCAGGGCGAAGCGTGGAGCACCGAGCTCGAACTCCGTGAGCACCTTGAGAGGCGACAGGCCGCGCACCGAAGCCATCTCGAGCACACCATCGCCGAGGCCGAGGCCGCGTACGAGCTGCGGCGGGCCGAGCTCGATGCCAAAACCCGGCTGGAGCGCGCTCGCAAGCGCGAAGAAGCGCAGGCACTTGCTGACGCTGCCCGCTACCGAAAGGCGACCCGTGAGGCAACCGATGCCCACGAGGCCCGCCTCCAGGCCGAGCTCGCCGACGCCCGGCGGCAGCATCGTGCCGAGGCGGCGGCACTGCGCAGGCGCATCCAGCACCTCGAGTCGCGCCAGAAGCACGAGGGTCACGAGGCCGAGGTCCGCAAACGCCGCGTCGTTTCCCAGCAGTCGAAGCTCGACACACTTCGTGACAATCTCGACGCCCAGGACGCGCGCGTCACCGCCAACATCATCCGCTCCGAGCAGGAGCGGCTCATGGAGCGGATTGCACGGACCGAGGCCAAGACGGCGCGGAATATGGGGAAGATTGAGGCGCTCAACGAGACGACGGCGGCCGAAATCGCCCGCCAGCGCTCGCTCACCGCCGACCACGAGGCCATGCACCGTGCCGAGGCTGATGCTGCCAAGTCTGCCTGGGCTGCCATCCTCGACCAGGAGGCTGCCGCGTTTGAAGCCGCCAAGGTCCGCCTTGTGGCCAAGATCCGCACCCAGGACGACTTTAGCAAGGAGCTTGCCGAGCTTGAGGCGTTGGAGGACCGCGCTGCCGCCCGGCTAGCCCGCCCGGTCACCTTTGCTCCTCCGGAGCGCAACGCCGACGCATCGGCACCGCCCAAGCGCGCCCGCACTCTGGCCGAGCAGTCGATGGCTGCCGCCCGGCTGGCTGTTCCGCGCACCGTCAACGAGTCACCGCCTCGTCAGAGCACGCCGGGAGGAGGCCCCGCGCCTTCGAGTCCCGGCCGGAGGTCGGCGACGCCGTCAAGGCCGCGCACGGAGCGCAAGCGCAACTGGGAGGCCGAGCGTGCTTCACGCATCGCCTCGGGCTACACCGTGCCGGGGGAAGCGAGCCCCAAGGGAGAAGCTGACGAATCGGCGGCAGCGGCAGGTGTCCGCGGCTTTGCCACCGCCTCGGCCGCCGAGCTGGCCGCCAAGTCGGCGGCAGTCTCGAGCATGGCCAAGTCTAATCGCAAAACGGCGTCGGCCAAGATCCACTTGCCGGACACGTCGGTCGTTGTTGTGCCGTGGCAGCCAAAGCTCCTCGTCTCGGACCTCATTTCATCGCTGGTGAAGCGGTACGAGCTGGAGGCGCAAGCGGCAGAGCTAATGCCGGGCATCCTCGATCCGGCCCGCGAGCCGACGCTCCGCAGCAACGCTCGGTTCCGGCTTGTGTACGGCTGCTCCTATGCGCTTGTCGACGCCGCCTCGCCACTGGTGGTGAACAAGCTGCTGCGGCTGGGCAAGCTGGCGAACACCACCCGGCTGTTTACGCTCCAGGACGTGGCGCTGCTCAACGCTGTTGCCGAGGCCGATGCGGTGCTAGACGCCGCCGACGGCGACGAGCCTGCGGCCGACTCGGTGGCGGCGGCGGCGCGAACGGCAGCGGTGGCAGCCATCTCTGCAGCAGAGCGGTCGCCGGCAAGTACGTCGGCAAGCACGTCGCGATCGCGGTCGCGGCGGTCGGCTCGCAAATCGGGCATCCACCGGGCGTCGCGACAGCTCGACACTATCAATCGGCTCGCCCAGCCGCGGCAGGCAAGCCGGGCGAGGGAGCGCGTGTCTGACGCGCGCGCGGCCTCGGCCCGGCCGCGTCGCAAGCGCAACTGGGAAGCCGAGTATCTGCGACGTAAGGCGTTGTCGGCGCGCGGGCCTGCCCCGCACGGAAAGGAGACCCGCCGTCCGCGACAGGCCACGCCGTCCTCACCGGAGCACCAGTACGAGTACGAGTACTTTGAGGAGGAGGTGACGTACACCGAGGCGTCGCTGGCAGGTGGCGAGACGCCCGACTCGCCGGACTTGCGCAGTCACCGGCTCCGGGTCTCGGAGCTTGACGTTCCACGGCAAGTCTCGCCGCTGCACTCGGTTCCGGACGAGTACGGCCTGTACTCGGTGCCAACCGAGGATGGCGACGCCGAAGAGGCGGCCTATGCGTTGCTGGCGTCGCCGCAGGCCGGCGGCGATGACGTCGCTCGGGTGGTTACCTTTGGCTCGGTCACGGCCGATGGTCACGACGAGGCTGAGACCGGAGCCGAGGCTGGCGCCGACGGCGATGAGACTAGCGGGGACGCTGGTAGCAATGAGTCGGACGGCGCTGATGCTATGAGCGGTGTGATCTCGAGCTCACCGCCCAAACCGCGACATGGAGATTCTGCAGTGGCTGTGCCGGCCGCCATCATCGAGATGCTTCCCGGTAGCGGGCTGTCTGTCGACGAGGTCCGGTCGCGAACGCGCTCGAATGCGGAGCTGTACGACCAGCACCCGTTCTCGTCGCCAACGCTGCACTCGGGGGCAACAACGTTTGCCCGGCCGGCGCATCGGCCTGTAGTTGACGGCATTGTCGTGGAGGGCAACCAGCCTGTGCCGTCGTCTGCGCTCGCGCTCGAGGCTCTGGTCGAGGAAGAGGTTGTCAAGTGGGCACCGGTCCGGATCAAGTCGAAAAAGTGCGGACCTGTTCACTCGCTGCGGTACCGGCGGCTGCGCCGGATTGTGATCTCGGTGGCGAGCAAGGAGTCTGAGACGGCGGTGCAGATTCTGGGCGTGTTTGCCTGTGTCGGAGGTAGCGTCAACGCGCGGCGGTTGTACGAGCTCGCGCTGGTCGAGCAGCAGTCGCCGGGAAGAGCCATCATTGGATGGGACAACCGCCTCGACAAGAAGATGTTTGGCGGAGTGTCGGCCAAGGGTGAGCGGTATCCGTTTACGCTTGTTGTCGACGTGCGGGTCGACGGGCACAAGGCGCCAGTGAGGCTGAGCAAGACGATCATGTGCAAAGTGTACGATACAGACACTTCGTTCTCGTACCGGACTATGAGCGGATCCAGCAGCGGGACGTTCGAGGCTGTGGCGGGCGGGCACCCTGGCCGGGTGGTTGTCATGGTGCCGCCGGCCGAGGAATAGCCGATAGCGCTACCGTAAAGTGGCAGCAGCTACGCGAGCTTGGGGTGGTGGATGGCGTGACGGAAAGCTTCGGCGCAGTTCAGGAAGACCGGCTGGACTTGCGGATAGAGGACCTGGAGCTTAGCGGCACGGTCGGCGTTTGTCGGGTGGGTGCGAAGGAGGGCAAAGCCGGAGCTCGGGGCGATGCGGTCCATGTGGTGCCACAGCTCGCTGGCGATGACCGGAGAGTAGCAGGCACGAGCCATGAGCTCTGCACCGACGACGTCGGCCTCGGTCTCTGCAGCACGCGAGTGCGGGAGCGAGAAGGCAAGCTGGCCGAGCGACGAGGTAAAGTCTGGCGAGATGCCAAAGTAGGCGGCGGTGGCGAGGGCGAGGGCCGAGATGACATACGACCACGAGACGTTTTCAGCGCCGTGGCGGAGGATGACGTGGGCAACTTCGTGGGCAAGGATGGCAGCAAGCGCACCCTCGGGGTCTTTGGTGGTGGAAATGACGTCGATGATGCCGGTGTAGACCACGATCTTGCCGCCGGGAACGACAAAGGCGTTCACGATGGGCTTGTCCACCACAGTTACCTCCCAGTCGATGTTGCGCTTGAGATTGTTTGCCGCGATGATGCGCGAGGCGACTCGAGCAACCATCCGCGTCCGCGGTGCCGACGCCGGGAGGACAAGATTGCCGGCCTCCTTCACCACATCCTTGTGGTACTCGAGGCCCATGGCGAGCTCGCGCTCGGGCGAGACGGCGATGAACCGGGTCCGATGGGTGTACTCGGTCTCCTCCAGATGAGTGAGGATAAAACCGGCACCGAGCAACGGAATGCCCACTAGCGCAGCCGTGACCCACGGCGAGCGCTGCATCTTGCGGGTGAACTGTCGGCCGTGGGAGAAGGAGACCGTCGACATGCCACGGGCTGGCGGCATTGGCCGGGGCGCAGTCGACGGGAGGGCGAGTCGCGAGTAGAGTCCGTGGATGCGGGCAGGGAGACGGGAGAGAAGCGGGCGGAGCATGCCGACGTATGTGGATGTATGGAGGGCTTGGAGTAAGGTACTGTTGGTGGCTGTGGTGGTGTTGGCTGTGGTGGTAGTAGTGATGGGTTTGGTGGCGAACCGGCCAGGTGGCTGACCGACTGGGTGGTTGGCTGGCTGGCTGACTGGGTGTTGGCTGGCTGGCTGACTGGGGTTGGCTGGCTGGCTGACTGGGGTTGGCTGGCTGGCTGACTGGGGTTGGCTGGCAGGCTGACTGGGTGGTTGGCTGGCTGGCAGGCTGACTGGGTGGTTGGCTGGCAGGCTGGCTGACTCGGTGGTGGCAGGCTGACTGACTCGGTGGTTGGCTGGCTGACTGACTGGGCACACCTTTCTTCGGAACTATTGAAGAGGCATGTCGGGCACGTCTGAGACGGCGCAGCTGAAGCAGAATGTTGAGGAGCAGCTGAACCGCCTGCTCAAGCAGCTGGCGGAGATTGACGAGGGCTATGTACGCTGGTGTGCACGATGTGCATGATGTGTGTGTGTGTGCGTGTGTGTGTGTGTGTGCGTGTGTGTGTGTGTGTGTGTGTGTGTGTGTGTGTGTGTGTTGGGGGGGGAGGAGGCGGGGAGGTGACGGCCACACTCACGCGACACGTGATGGTGGTGGGATGGTACGGGTATGCGGTGATGGGCATGGGTGTGCATGGGTGTGCATGTGTGTGTATACATGCATGCATGGGAGAGTAGGAGGATGGCGAGCTGGATGAGGAAGAGTACGATGAGATGCGCGAGGAGACGCTCGAGCAGCTGGCCGAGTTCCAGGAGACGCTGTCGTCGCTGATGGAGGGCGACATGTCGCTGGTGGACGATCTGTCGGCGATGAAGCTTGCTATTCAGGCCGCTGTCTCGCAGGCCTTCCAGACACCCGAGGTCATCGAGTTGTTTGCCAAGAAGCAGCCCGACGCGCTGCGGGCAAAGTACGAGGAGCTGGAGACCCAGCTGCAGCTCGGCAAGCTGACCGAGGCCTCTTTCAACGCCAAGAAGCTGGAGATGCTTGCCGCCATCCTCAACCTCGGCGGCGCCCTCACCGATGGCGAGAAGGCATACCTTCAGAAGAACATGAACGAGACGCTCGCCCAGTTCCAGAACGCCGCCACCAACCTCTCGGCCTCGGCCAACAAGGATCTGCTCTCTGGTGCCGCCTCGGACATTGCTCGCGCCTCGGGCCAGTCGTAAACCCCATGACTCTTACCCATCACCAGCCCTACCGCCGTCCGCCGCCCACCACCCACCGCCCGCTTGCGACGCGCCGCCGCCCGCTTGCTGCACCGCCGCAGCCACAGACTCAACAGACCCAGACCCAGACCCAGACTCAGACCCAGGCCTCAACCTCACTCCCACCCCACTCTCCCGCAAGCCAGCCCAGCCTTGCCCGAGATGGACCTCAACATTGGCATCAAGACCCGTACGCTCCTCCCCCCCTTCTCCTTCCCCCTTCTCCTTCCCCTTCCCCCGCCACCCCTCCTGTGATCCCGCCCTGGTCACCCACTTACTCTGTAAGCACCCGGACGGGGGTATGGAGGACAGCACGCGGGACAGCCACATCTGGGTATGTGCAGAAGAACATGGCTGCGGCTGCCATCCGCAAGAGGAGCTCACATATGCGTCCCATGGCTCGGTCGAGGGCCCCGCCGGATCCAAAGCTCGAAGCCCACCGCAAGCGCCGTGCCGTCGAGGTCAAGGTCTTTGCCCTCCGTCGCGAGATGCGTGCCCGCGGCGAGCCCGAGGCCGAGATCGAGGCTGCTATCGCTCACTTTCGTGCAAAGCTCGCTGCTGAGTTCGCCGAGAAGGAAAAGGCCGCAGTCGAGGCCGAGATCGAGCGTGAGCGCAAGGCAAAGGAGGAGGCCGAGGAGCTGCAGACAGAGGCCGCAGAGCGCGAACGGGTCGCTGCCCTCCGCAAGGCCATCTTTGAAAAGCGCAAGGCCAAGAAGGCTGCAGCGCTGGCCGCAGCTGCCCGCGGCAGCGCTGCTTCAGCCTCGCCGTCCCGCTCACGCTCACGCTCCCGCTCGCGCGAGCGCAACCACAAGACTCCTCCCCACTCCCGCTCCTCTCGCTCGTCACAGCGGAGCCGGCGTTCCCGGCGGCGGCGTCGCTCGCCGTCGTACTCGTACTCGGCATCAGGCTCGGCCTCGGCCTCTTACCCCTACTCGTACTCGGGCTCAGCCTCGGGATCGTACTCGGGCTCGGGCTCGGGCTCGGGCTCTGGCAAGCGCACGCGTTCGCGCAAGAGCAAGGGCAAGGGCAGGAGCATCAAGCGCTCCGCTTCGGCCAAGCGCAGTAGATCAAAGTCCGCCCCTCGTCGTGCGTCTCCGGGCTCGGGCTCGGCGATGCGCACCCGTTCCGGCACCCACTCCGGCAGCCAATCCGGAGAAGCCGGCGAGGTGTCGGCCTCATCTTACTCTGGCTGCTGACTTGTCCAGGCGAGCCTCGCCACACGGCTCGACCACCATCACTCCCCGCGGCTTGTCGTGCAGTAAATGGCTCGTGCCCAGACCAGCTGCACCGCCAGCAGTGGACTGGTCATTGCTGACAGCCGAGCCAATCCGGCTGAGTCTTGCTCGAGCCGTCAGCACGTGTGACCTGGGCACCACCTCACTCTGTCCCCCACCCACCGCCTCTGTCGCCATGTGTACGCCACATCCGCTTCCCCTTCCCCCTTCCCCCATCTTCTCCCCCCTCCCCTGGCACTCCCCTCACCTCCACCCCTCGTCTCTACCCTGCAGCAACTCGTGCCGCCGATTCGGCCCAGCTGGCCGACGAGGTGGCGCTGGCGGCGACAGCTCTGGTCGAGTCCTCGGTCGATGGCACCATCTTTGACTACTCGCCAGAGCTCAAGTTCCTGTGTAAAGTCGTGGAAGATGCGCTTGCTTTTGGCTTGGCGGGCAAGGCCCGGCTCTTTGGCTCCAATCGCCGCCACTTTTGGTACATGCTCGACGAGACCGGACGGAAGGCCGGCGGTGCTCTCAAGGATGCTGCTGTGGCGGCCGCGGGCGAACCGTCAGTCCGGTCGCCTGCTGGAAAAGGTCGAGTGTGGATCCGGAACGCATTGGCCGGCAAGCAGCTCGCCATCTTTCTGCACGCGCTCTGGATCGAGCACCATATGGACATGTACGACTTCTACGACTCATTTGCCCTCGCCGTCAACAGGGACCTTGCCGAGGCCATCCTCGAAGCGCTGGTCCCGCTCGCATCCGTCGACTTTGAACTAGTTGCCAGCAACGTGAGCCTGGATGACTCGTGGGAGCCGCTCGTCGAGGTGCCCAAGTGGCGCCGTCGCGCCGCCACCGTCGACGCCCGCCCGCCGACGCGCCCTGCCCGCGCTGCGCCCGATGAGCCATCCGCCGAGGCAAGCCATCCGCCGCCGCAAACGCCATTCCGTAAGCGCAGCGCGTCCGCGGTCGATCCCGGCGACTGGAAGACCAAGCACGAGCGGCTTCGCGCAAAGATGGACGTGCTCCAGTCGATGCACGCTGCCGACTATGCACACTTGCAGGACCGCTACAAGTCGCTGCAGCGCGACTTTGACGAGGCATGTCTCGAGCTCGCTCAACTGCGACAGGCACTTCGCGACAAGCGCCCCGCCCCGCTGGCTGCATCCGACGTCAGCGGGGAGCGTACTGCCGCCTCCGCTCTCCAGACTGAGCTCGACAACGCCGTCGCTGCCGCTGCTGCCCGCGAGGCCGAGCTGGTGGCGGCGCTCGAGGCAAAGTCCGCCGAGCTTGACGCTGCACGAGCAGCACATGCCGAGCTCGCAGCAAATGACGCCAAGGCGCGAAATAAGAATGAGCAGATGCAGATCGTGCTGCGCGAGACCAAGGCCCAGCTTCAGAAGCTTGCCGAGGACCACCACGCGCTCTCGTCGCTTCACTCGCATCTTGGCACCATTCACCGCAAGACGCTTGCAGAGCTCGCCGAGGCGCAGAGCGCAGGCCCGACGCCCGAGGTTGCAAACCGTCTTGCGGCGCTCGAGTCGCAGCTGGACGACGCTCGGGCCGCGGCTGCCGCCGCCACTGCTGAGCGCGACTCGGCGCATGCGGAGCATGTCGAGCTGATTCTGGCCCACGAGGAGGCGCAGCGAGAGATCGAGGCGCTCAAGCGAGCCGCCGAAGCGGGCACAGCCGCGGCGGCGGCTTCTCGTGCGGCGGCGATGGCACGGGCCGAGGCCGAAAAGACCGCGGCCGCGCGGATTGCTCAGCTGGAGGAGGCGGTGGCTGCGGGTGAAGCCGCTGCAGCGGCTGCTGCCGCAGAACGCGATGCGCTGGTCACCCGGCTCGCCTCGCTTGAAGCCGAGATGCAGTGCGCCGCTGAGGCGTCCCGCTCGGCACTCGAGTTGCAGTCGCAGTCACGAATGGAGGCCGAGGCGCAGGCACGCGAGGCCACAGCCAAACTACAGAAGACAGCATCGGCGCTTGCCGCGTGCGAGGCCAAAGCAAGCACGCGTGCGAGCCAGATTGACGAGCTGCAGCGTGCGCGGTCTGCAGCTGAAGAATCTGCTGCGCAGGCAAGCGAGGAGGCGGCCGTTGCCCACGAAGCGGCTCAGGCGATGACGCAATCGGTCTCGGACCTTGTCACGCTCAACACCGAGCTCGAGGGCCAGGTTAGCATGCTGACGGCACAAGTCGCCGATCTCGAGCAGCGATGGACGGTGGCCGGTAAGAACGAGAAGGAGGCGAGCGCTTGCTGCGGCTGCGGCGATGACTTTACCTTTTTCAACCGCAAGCACCACTGTCGGCGGTGCGGGCTGATCTTCTGCAACGACTGCACCCTCCACCGCGCCACGCTCAAGGCCGCCTGCAAGCCAGTCCGAGTCTGCACTCACTGCCACGCGGCAGTCCGCATCGACACCGGCGACGCGAATGGCGACCCGATTGTCGCCACCGACCTCTCGCCGTCGCCATCGCCACGGGCTCAGCCGTAAACGAGCACCGCTTCGTCAATAGCAGCGAGTCGGCCGAGTGGTGACGGCGACACGCACACGCACACGCACACGTCTCGCAAGGACCATGAGTCAGCGAGTGATAGCAGCGGCCGCAGCAGGCGGGGCAGTGCTTGGTGCAGCTGTGGGTGCGGTAGCCATGTACCTCTCAACCAGGCCAGTGTACGTGACGGTGGTGGGCGCTGGCGACTGAGCAGGCCCTTGCGTGTGTCACCGGGTCGGCTTCGGTCGGTCGCGCTGGGGGGGGGGGGGGGAGGAGGGCGAATGGAAGGCGGCGGCAAACGACTGACGAGCGAGGCATGGGCGCGGGGAGCGACAGGCGGGAAGAAGCGCGGTCCATGGCGCCCGAGGCCAATCCAGATCCGGTGCTGGATGCGTCTGCCGAGCTGGCACGGCGTGTGGAGAGCGGCGAGTTTGAGCGGCTGGAGCCGAACACGGCGCACACGCGCGAGACGCTGCTGTATCCGCTGATCGAAGGCGATGTGTTTGATCGGCAGCGGTGTGTTGATGGGTGGGATACCAAGAACAAGGGCATCGAAGAGACGGTGGCGCTGGTGGCCGGCGTCGGCGGTGTCGGGTCCAACGTGGCCATGGCGCTGGCCCGGATGGGCGTGGGGCGCATTGTGCTCATCGACATGGACACGGTCGACGCGACCAACCTCAATCGGCAGATTCTGTTCACCAAGTACGATGTCGGCAAGCGAAAGGTTGTCGCGGCGGCGGAGAACCTGGAAGCGATGCACGGGCTCGGCAGCCGGATCGAGACGCTCGATCTCGACGTGGTGCGCAACTGGGACAAGGTGGTGGCGGCAGCAGCCGAGGCGACAGTCATCTTCAACTGCATCGACTATGGCGGAGTGGCAGACAAGGCGTTGGCGTCACTGGCGTACGCCGAGGGCATTCCGTACGTCTCGGCGTCGACGTACGGCAACGTGTTCCAGAACGAGTTCTACACGTCGGTGCCGGGCGAGCTCTGCTGGCGCGATGCGTGTGAGGGCAACATGGCGGCGTCGCCGTCGCAGCTGGAGAGCCTGGCGAGCGAGCGCGGCGTGGAGGTCATCGACGCCGAGTCGGGCGCGGCGATTCTTCGCGATCACTTCAAGGTCACCGATCCGCTGGTGAAGGAACTCTTCGCTGGCTGGCTCGCCGACCTCGATGCAGAGGCGCTCTCGCCACGCGACTTTTACACTCTCATCATCCGCGGCAAGTACGACAAGTGGCTCGACACGCAGCTTCACCCGTCGCTCATCCGTAGCCATCAGTCGATCGAGTTCATTCCGGCGGACCCGCACGACACCCGCGGACAGGGCTCGTGGGTTGTGGTCTGCACCGTCGGCACGCTGCTCTCGGTCAATCTCTGGGTGCAGCACATGCTCGGGTACCCGACAATCTCGTCGACGGTGTGCGATCTGCGGCACTTTGACGTTGCCGCCGAGTTTGGCCCGTTCACCAACTTTAATGCCTTTGCGCCTGCGCCGTCGTCGAACCACCCGTGGGCGACGCCAGTCGATGCGCTGATCAAGGGCAAGGAGGCGGAGGAGTAGCTCGCGTGTACAGGCAAGCCCTGGGTGCTTCAGCGCTTGCGCGAGAGCTCGGCAAGAGCCTTGCGCTGGGCAAAAAGTTCTTGGGTAAAGACAACCGAGGCGAGGTAGATGTTGCGCTGGACCTTGGCGGTGAGTGGCGAGTCGGTGTCGAGGGCGGCGACACGCTTGCCGAGCGCCTCGAGCTTGTGGAAGTGCTTGGTGAGCATCTTTTGGAGATGAACAGCGCGTGCCTCCTGGCGTTCTCGAAACTCGCGACGGGCCTGCTGGGCTTCTGCAGAAGCCGAAGGCACAACGTACTTGTCGAGCGCGGCCGTGACCGACTCGTACTCGGGGACGATGTTGTTGATGAGCTTGCGCTCGGCAGCCATGGCGTGGTAGTAGCGCATGTAGGCGAGCGGCGAGGGGACAGCGCTGGCGTCCTCGATCTTGATCTCCAGCCGCGCACGGCGGTAGCGAGCAGTAGCCAGCTGGAAACACGACGAGCACGTCCGAACCTCGCCGTCGGGCACCTCAATGCGCTTATGTGTGGCGCGGAGGATGCCAAAGGGTACGCGGTTCTGGGTGCAGCTCGAGCAGAAGACATTGCCGCACAGTCGGCAGTGGATCTTCCGCGAGAGGAGACTGAATGGGGCTTCGCACGCTCCGCACTGTGTCGCGGCTTTCTCCGGCTTCCAGCGGACCACAGACGCCTCAAACTCGCGGTTGCCGAGAGCCTTGGCCTTGAGTCGCGAGAAGAACGAGCCGCCGCCGCCCGACGATGTGCCCGGCGACGACGACGGGCCTGCACGCGATGGCGAGGCTGAGAGTCGCGATACAGCCAAAGATGAGTCTGCAGCGGCCTGCGGCCCAAGCGCCAGCTTCTCAAGCCGGCGGAGGAGCTTGTTGGTCTCGACAACTCGCTCACGGGCGCGAGCGGTGCGAGCGGCCTTGAACGCGGTTGACCTGTCGCGCATGGTACCTACGACGACATCACCATCTGTCCTCCACACGTAGCAGGCCTCGCAGACAGGGAAGAGCTGGGCAGAGAGTGAGGGTGTGGGTACGGCATCCCGATCTAGGCGACGCTTGCGGGCGACATGCGAGAGGCAGTAGACCAGGCCGCATCGGTAGCAGTGGTTGGGCGTGTGGGTGGTGGAGAACTCGGTCTCGCACCCGGGCTGCATGCACGAGCTCACATGCTCGGACGAGATCCAGTGGCTCGTGTCGATGGCTTCTGCTGCCATGAGTGTGTGTCTGTCTGTGTGTGTGTGTGTGTGTGTGTAGGGGTGCGGAGTGGAGTGCGGTGGTGGTGGTGGTGGTGGTGGTGTTCCGACACGGACAGGTGGCGGTGGTGGTAGTGAGGAGGGGGGTGGTGATGGGGGCGATTGGCTGGTGATGTATGGGAGTTAGATCGGGGAGGTTGTGGGGAAGGAGGAGGGAGAGGGTGTCTGCTGGCTAATCCTCCTTGGGCGTGAGGAGGCCGAGCTCGCGGGCCTCGATGAGGGAGGGGACGTTGTCGAGCTGCAGAGCGAGGGCAACCATGCAGATGGAGCCGATGAGAGTGTGGTAGAGAGCCATGCGCTCGGCGGCGGAGCGGAGAGCATCGAGGTCAGTGATGGCAGTGTTGACGACAGTCTCGCGCAGCGGGTTGACGCCGGCGACAAAGATGCCGAGCGAGATGATGGCCATGGCCAGGCCGGCGAGCGAGGTAAAGTTGCGGAGATCGTAGGCCGACTTGAGGATGGCGAGAGCAGCGAGACCGATTGCCGCCGGAACCATTGCCGCTCCAGGCAGCAGCTTCTGGCTCTCTTGGCGCTGGTGATGGGCATAGTACGACTTGAACTCGGCGAGGTCGTCGGCCGTCTCCCAGTGGAGGTCAAAGGTGAGGTCGATGGCAAGGAGGCCTAGGACGACGGCGAAGGCAATGCCAGCGACATTCATACGCAGGGTCATGGTGGGGTAGGGGGGGGGGGGGGGGGCGTAGGG